ATAATCACCCTCACACCACGTACAGGCCTAGTATAAGGGCCGGGCCCGTCGCGTCGGTCAGGTCAAAATCCACCTGGACGAAGCATGGAGCGAGTCCCTTAGAAAACGTTCAAAACAGTAGTTCTTGCTTTAACGCTAAAATAATATTTAACTCCTTTCAAGTATATAAAGAATTTCTATTTTGTATACTGGAATACGGTAAGGTAGTGTTTTTAATCTGGATTGTTCTTAACTCTTGACAAGTTGCCGTTGCATTTAATTGTTACGATAGTTTTTGTAAAAGTTGTTGGATGTTTTCTGAGTAATTGTTGTATATCGTATTTTTATATCGATTAATACACGGGTTGGATAAGCATATATGAATATAACAGAATTCCGTATATCCTTTTAATATTACAATTAACGGCCATTTAAAATAAGTTTTTAACTATTCAATATGTTAAACCTTTCTGTGAAATTTTTGTTTCTTGCAATTGAGAAGATAAATACTGTAATAAACGTTACGGCAGTTCTACAATAGGGCAAGCTTTTGGTAAGAATGAATGAATGGTGATTAGGCTAAGGCTGATAATTGTTAAATAAATTGACGAGTTTTGAAGCAGAAAAGAGAAAAGTGTAATACAGTATTTACTTTAATTTTTGGTTTTGGAACTATTCGGTATGAGCTTATTTTTATTGAGAAGATGTACGTTCACTATTCAGTGAGTATCTTTGGTACTTCTGAACTATTCTGTTCAAAGATACCATATGTTGATAAGTTTTGGCCAAGTATTCGGCGTGTAGGCTTATTCAATAAAACGATTTGATCATTGAATCTGTTTTTCTCCATTATATGTATATTATTCTTTCAATAAAATTTAAATGTTTGTTAAAACCCTAATCTTTTAAACTAGGAACGCTTTGCTCTTCACTCCTTTTGCTATTGACACTTTTAACTGGTTTAACGCGTCTATGTATATAGTCTTACTGTTTAGTTATTTGAAATGAATCCACCGATGGTTTAAAGTTAACTCAAACTTATTAATTTTCAAATACAAGAACCTGTTCATTAGCTATTTGTCATAAAATTTGTGAAACTTGTGCGTTGAACGTTAAAGAGCTATGTCAAGTCACAAAAAAGGGAAATTCGGTCATCTAATTTTAATATGGTGTTATTGATATATCTCTTTAAACCCAAATCAATTGTTGCACCCGTACTGGACCACTGAGCCCTGTGTATGGAACTCCCCCCTTACAATGTGATTTTACATATTTTTAATGGAGAAGCAACAACACTTTCATTATGACTTCTTCTTTATCACTGATCCTTTGGATTGAGCGAGGGTAACGTCCTACTTTAACAAATATACACAAGGAAATGCCAATACGTGCATTATATACATTTAACAAACAAGTCCCTCATAGATTTACCATTCATGACCTTTTTATTTATACTGTAGTGGCTTATCCATACATTTTCATTTTCCATTTATAGGAATGGATGATCGATAATTTCCGGAAGCTTATTATCCATTTCTAGTTTGACTAATTGTAAGGCTATTATTTAATCATTTCGCTATATATTTATAAGCTATTGCTCTGGAGTTAACCAAGTAGTGCATATGATAAACATTTCGTCTATATCAGTGCACTAAAATGTATAACACTTCAAAACAGATTTAGACTTACAAAACATGAGAAATCGATTTCCTCAATTCAAAGACACCCCTATTTACCTATGACGTTTACCTATGGGTGACTTAGTTTGATGAGTCACAATCCAAAATTATTTAAGAGTATGTCGGCGTATTTTTTAGTCTCTTCTTTTAAATACCTTACTAGTCCCTAATCAACTAGTTTAGTAGTTTGTTCCTGTTGTAATTTCTTCTCCTGTTTTCTGGTATTACGTCAATGCTGCTGTAAATTTAGTTCTCGAAATCTACTTTCGTATGTACGTGTTTCGTGTCTACTTTCGTTTATACCTATGCAAAAAATAAGCTTATCGCATGTCTGAAAAACAAATGAACATGTTGAAGTGGAGCTGGTTTGTTTTAGTATTATGGTAAAACAATAACAAGACAGCTCGGGGCTTAGCTCTGTACTTTCTCTTTTAGCTCTGAGTACGAGTCGCTTGGTTTGTGGAAACATATATTGAGCTATACTTTCTAATATCATACGATAGTTTGTACCGAGGCGGATTTCTAACCATTTAAAAGTTTAAAACACGTTATCGAATGTTAGTTTTAGCATAAAATTGTTTCCGCAAACCTGTAGAAAGATGACATAGGTGGGGAAGATGTAATTTTACATAACTGAAACAAAGAGAAGAATAAATACACTTTCAGTTTATACAAATGCTTGTCAGAAAATACGTCAATTCCCAAGATAAGAGAAGAAAGTAGTATTATGAGCCCCTATTTAATTATTAATTTTTTATAATATTTTTAAAAGTATTTACCCATTATTTGTACCCAATAACATAGTCTGATAAGTTGCTTACCTGGTTTGATCGTATTTTGTACAGTTATATTACATTTGACTAGTTAATTTATTAAATTTGAGGGCAATAAACTTTTTAAAAGGTTTGGTATGTGTATGTAATAATGTGAGCACCATTGTGTTGGTAATATGTACTCGAGAAAACGCTGCGAATGCCTTAACAATCGTCCAACGACTGCGACTCTGACTGCTCCAGGAGCAGACCCACGATAGACGTCCACGACTACAGTCGCGTCAGTGACAACGGTGCCATTGAAAACAATGCTAAGCAGGCGCTCTACGATTATCGTTTATCGGCTGTCGTCTACGACTGCAGTTCCAGCCGCACTTAATATAAGTGTTCAGAGTATTGGTCTTTTCCTAAAATATTGGGAAGTGCCACAAACACACGTTCTGTAATGCTCATTTCGCGGGAGAACAGGGAATTGTCCGATTGTTTCTTTACAACCTACCTTTTTGCACCCTTGTCACCCCCGGATTGATCATGGATTTTACCTATTCTTTTACAGTTTCCCGAACTAGTAAACATGATCACAATCATAAAATACCATAAGAAATACCTTCAGCTTGCACAAAAGTTGGTCCAAATTAAAAGTAAACTCACGAATGATTAAAAGAAATATTTTTAATTTAGCTTCAACAAGTCACACACACATTCACATAGAATTTATACAATATCCCCAATGAACTAGTAATAGGAGTATTCACTGTCAGTCCTGCGTCTTCTAAGCCGCTTGACTTTCTTCTGACGCGGCTGTTTGGCAGCCAGATCCACAAACGGCTTCTTATCACTGTCGCTGAGAGACCTCCACGCCGCAGCCGCCTCCCTTATCATCTCCTTGGGACTGAACTCCCCCAGGTGCGAGTTGCGAAATGCTTGCACAAAGTTTATATAAGGCATCCTTGTGGGCTTGGGTACCAAGTTTGTCGTGGTTTTCTTCAACCCAGCTTTTCCTGTTTTATCCATGATTCACACAAATTACGAAATTTGCAAAAATTTGATTGATGAAGATTGTCGAATTTATAAAGCTCCTGGTGCAATGAGGATAATTTACTAACTGATTAATTTTTGTTTCCTAAGAAACCACATTTAAAATCTATGTGTATTTATACCTAGACTATTTGTACAGAATCTATTAACATTTTGTTTTAGAATTAAACTTATTTCTTATTCAAAGGTGCTCAGATAACTGCTTGTATTTTTTTGTGTTGACGAATACCTGATTCTTTTTCAAAATTTGTAATGTTTGGGATTAAGTGGAGTTCAGATGGGTTTCTTTGGGTAATGCCTAGAATATATGTTCCATATTGAAGTTGGTGGTAACAAATCATCTGATTCACGTTAAATTTGGCGGTAAATTTGGTTAAATTTGGCACAAGGTTCTCTTTAGATGTCAGTGTTATTTCTTTCCGTGGCAAATGATATGCATTCGCAAACTGTGCATATAATTGCTGATAAACCTCTGAATCATGCTGCCACATGATTTTGTTACAGTTTTGTCATTATAAATCAGATTTTGATATCTTTCGACATTTGTTTGTTATTATTTCAATACTTTTTTCGACAAGAACTTTTGCAATAATGTGGTTTGACCAAAGCCCCAGACTCTTTCTTGAAGTAGATGCTGACTGATACATTAAGAAGTTGCTTAGACATTTCACATTTTATTCAAACAGTTCTTCATTGCAATGAAATATATCCATACTTTTGCGGATTGCCAATGATCTTTGGCTGACGGGTCTTCTACAATTATTAAAGTGTCAGCATTAAGTAGCCTATACACGTATGATACTTAATAATGATAACAGCTTATACTCACTGTAAAACGTGGGAAAATCTGTTGACGCCTCAGTAGAAAAGTTTCTTTAAAAAATTACAAATGCATTTCTACAGCTTTGTTCGTTGACGAGTGCACTATTTAAGTAAGTGTATAACGTCCTAAAGTGTTTTTTGTGTTTGGTGGTGAATAGTTAATTTTTACTGGAAACTTAGATCTCAAGTATATTGACTATGGTACCCTAAAAAAGGCAAGAGACAGGTTAGAATGGCAACACCAATAATTGTACTTCAAACGTCTTGGTAGTCTACTTACAATAAGTTACACAATATAAAAAAACACGTATTCGTACTTTTTGAATATTTAAATTGATGCTAATGTTCATTAAGACGAAATTAGTCAATTCAAACACTTGCTTAGCACGACAAAGCGACATAGCACTTTATCACATCTCGATAACCCTTTACGGCAACCCTTCCCCGCAAGGCGGCGCCATAATAACCTGTACAAACGATAGCATCAGCCGTAATAGGCACGGGCTGGGGATAAACTCTTTATATTTATTATTCAAAACCTTTTCAACGGATTTACTTTTTATTTCCAACTTGCGATAATTTATTCCGCGCGCTCGAACACGGTCGAACATCCCACATCGCTTTATTGAACAAGCGGAGTTGTGCAATATTTTTGTAGATAGTAGGTCAGGGTGGGCGTGGCGTGGAGGGGGGCGTGGTCACGTGGCGAGCGACGCGCCGATTAGCGGAGCGCGGTTAGGGGCGGGCGCATGGTGGCTATTGATTGGTCCCGCAGGGAGGGGAGATCCGGTTGTGGTAGTTTGAGCGTTCACCGCTAGAGCGCTACGGTCGTTCTGTCAGTTTGAGCATAGCGTCGATAGCGACCGCAACGGTTCGCGTTTGTTGTTGTTGGACCTAACCTCAATGTGATGCGGCGGAGGAGGTAGTGCCTAGGATCTGAGGATGTCTGCTTACGCCCAGTTCGGCTACGGCTACGGTTCACCGGCGTCCCAGGTAAATAAATGTGTTGTGTTGTGCTGTGATCGAACCCGTGAACACCAGTGTCAGTGCCAGTGATAGATAGTGATGTGAGAGTAGCGTAACTTAGTTGTACTGTAAGTCCATATAAGGGTTGCATATAAACGTGCTGATATCAGGTTATTTCATAGTATAAATAGCAAGTAAGTTAGGGGGGAAGTTTAATAAACATAAATTATTTTAACGCATAGGTAATCTAATACAAACAAAGGTACAACTTCAAACAAAATCCATAGCAGGAATGCGACTAAGTTATCGAAGGAGAATATTAAACATACCGTTGCTGTTTATCCTTATTGATATCCAAACAAAATCAATTTATAAAAAACAGAGAACGTCTCTTTTGACTGCACTAACTCTTTCTTTGAAACCTTATGTGTAATGTAAATATAAAAAAAACTAGTGGAATTTAACAAAAGTTCTACTGCTTTATAAAAGATATCAATATTTATGTACCTATCTTTGCAGCTAAATCAAGAAAGTAATTTTGTTTTGAAAGCTGTTCAAGAGACATAAAAATCCGTTCAAGTAGACTAACTTATTTATTTAGCTTCTATTTATATCAATCACCCTTTAATAGACAATTTAAAATTTAAAACAGCAAAAATTGTTCTTTAGCTAATTATTTGCCCACGGATTTTTTATCATACATTTGAATAGGGATGGCAATAAATAAATACTAAGCAATAATAAAACAACGCTAATATCGTAAAAAAAACAATAATAACATGTTCATCCATAACCCGTTTCATACCTTTGTTATAGGCAAAAAATGTGTTATTACAAACCTAATTTATCTTAATTAATTACAAAATTTGAATCATTAAAAGATATAAAACCTAATACTTTGAGTAAATCATTGAGCGTTATAATAGTTATCCGAGTCGGCAACGCTCTCCAGAATTACAAGTGCCGAAGTAAACCTATCCCGTAAACCTTAAAAGTTATTTACTATTTTCAAACTTTACTAAAAAGGGTATAAATACCCCCCCCCTCTTGAATAAATAAACAAATATATTTTAGTTGAATACAAATAACAATAGACTACCAATAAAATAATATTCAAACAATCTTTTGTAATATTATTTGTTGTATTTTGTGTGAAACTAATGATAATATGGCTAAAAAATACTCATCTTTTGAATTAAAAATGTTTAATGTAGGCTACAATAATTTTTTTTAATGTATACCTACTGCATTTCTACACGGTCAGAGTAATATGATAATTATTTAAAAAATTGCATGTCACATCCCACATGCATAGTTTTTCTCGGGTATATGCTTGTTTTCTTTCAATATAAATTCGGTTTAGCCGGAATAAAACATTTATGGCAAAATCGTAACATTTTAACAACAATAATTCTGGTTGTTAACTTTTAAATTTTGACAATTTCCGTTGCTATACTTTTAAAATTATCACTTAACCAAATCTTTCTGCATACAAGATTTACTGTATTCAATATATTTTATTGTTATCGTTTGTAACTACATAAATACCAACTAATTGAGGTTTTAATTAATGTTGTGTATGGTACGTGACAAAAACTTTACACAAAAATAATTACTATTTAATTTTTATTCAAAATTTTAAGTTTAATCATAACTAACACATAAGCACGGTCCCATTTAAGCCGATTTAGCTCATTAATATAGTATTTAGGTATATTCTTTATATAATAAATTCGTATACACATATTTTTTTCCATACCATACTGTAAAGCAAATGCGCTATAAACAGCAGGAGAGCCTAAAAGTATTTCAATAAAGACATAAAGCCGTAGGAGTGCATTATTAAGCAGTTGGGGTTGTGGTCAAATGGCCCATATCCATTACATTCAGTGGTTCATTTACTTAGGCTGTGTTCGGTCCCAAATAACCTTATAATAAGACATCTGCTCCTCCCGCACGGTTAGTAACGGATGACGGTCTCTAAAGCTAATGGATAGGGCCGGGCGGTGGTTTGATTTTCAAATTGGGGTGGTTATTATGTTATAGGCCTAATACCATTAATTTAGTTTGAATATACATGATTTTAGGGTATTTATTGTCAATTATTTATAAATAAAGATAGGATGAAAATTGAACTGTGTTGAAGTGTGGGTTTTTGTAATGGTTGTTTCATGTGTACCTATACGCAATTAAACCCAACTAATACAGAAGATTTCACGAAATTTATAGAATATTTTTAATAAAAAAAGGTGTTAATTGATACAATAAATTGTTTAAAAAATTTTTACATCCCTAGTTAATTTAATGTTTGCATGTTTTGAGGTTTTGTAATGTTTGGATATCCAATTAATTTGAATAAAACCATTTATTAAATGGAAGTTAGATTTTTAATTTTTGTTTTGTAAATAAGAAACACTGGCTCTATAGAATTTAAAATTAATTTAATTTACAGTTTTACAAGATTAAATAAATATGACAAATCTGAAGTTAAACAATAATGCCTTACCGTTTAAAAATTAATTCAAATAGTTTGGCGACGATGGAAAAGTATGTAAACACAGTTTTCTATCGTGATATTTTGCTTGTTAGACTACAATACTTTATAGATTTATCACATTGTTATGCACAATATCTATAGTTATAGTAAATGCAAAAGTATAAAATCAAACAACATTAATACAGGCCTAGTTGTTTTAACATTTTTGTTAAAAAATGTTAACAGTTTTTAACATTTTGATTTGGCTATATAGCACAGATTTAAGAAACTATGCGTCATAAAGCATTAAAAATAAAAATATGCATTGGCAATTGTCCGAGTTTCTATATTCTAATATACAAGACATGTAGCCTACTCTTTGTCTTATGTACTCTCTGTACAAATGGTACCGTGGACCTTGTGAATGAATATAATAAACAAGCATACAATAATTACAATATTTATATAATTATAAGTCAACCATGCTCACTAGAAGACTTTCTTGGCCTAAGATAGACACATTTAAAAAGCTTTAAATTCTATCACTGTGGGGTAGCGCTTTATAATACGAATTCTCCTTTGTTACTTGATTTATCCAATTAAATGGTGTAAACAATTCTTTAGTTATATTTATGTTGTACAACTCAATAAATAGATGAAAACTCCTTTGGTCGTTTAACAAACCTAATGAAGGAAGCGGCTTGTCAAAAGCGTAATAAATACAAGTAATAATAGGCTGGCGAAGGGGTCGAAGATAACGCGGAATTAACATAATTATCCGAATGTGTCGCAATGCATCATTCCAAGCCCGCTTATCACTGAATTTACACGGAATTACGCCCGTAAACTGTCCACGTTATCCGAACTCGGATAGCTCGATTGGTAAACATTTCATAAGCTATCTTTAGACAGTTCAGCACAACCAAGTACAAGAATACATTGGGCGAATTTGTCTAGAAATTGTGTTTAGAGGTTAGGTTAATAAACACATTATTATTGAATGCATGTAGATTGAGAACGACAATTTTTAACCGGTCATATGTTACAAGCTCCGATAATGATAAAAGTTCTATCAGAAACAGTTAAAGATGAAACCTAATCATATATGCAATTGGGATAACTTAGAATTTGACTGCCTAATAAAATACTCGGTTAAATTCCAAACACTGCTAAACTATGATTAATTTATTTTCCAAGCGTACCTCAACGCACAATTTAATTCATATTCAATTCAATTAGCCTAGCGAGTCATTAACATCAATTAACTCAGATGGGGGAAGTAGCAATCAATACTGAAACTTTGCGCCAACTAAACGCAACAAGAGCAGTAAAGAAGCACTTGTCTGAGCATTAAACAATGCTTTGATTTGTACTTGAAAAGCCAATAAAAACATTATGAACCTTTGGATTCGCAGCGTGTAAGCAAGGTGTAGGACAAGGGGGTGCGCGCACGCACGTTGTCGCGCAGGCGCTCCCTCCCCCTCCACAACATTTCTGACACAATTGCACTACTCGTGAAAACCGATCTGTCAATTCGATTGATAAGCTTTATTGGCATATCCGGTCCAAAATCCATTTGTTCCCCGGTGCAACTGTCATAGATTGCATTCAAATCCTCGTCCGAATTTCACGAACGCGTCTCATTGGTCATTGGTCGACTGTCCGACACATCGGATGGACTAAAGTGATGTAATCAATGATTTGAACCACCCAACCCCTTTGATACAGCGCAGGTTAATAATGCCTTCCTAACTTCCTCGACAGTGTTGGTTAATTGGCAAAGAGACTTTGTAATTTTGAGAATGAGAAATTGTTGGGGGTTTCTTTTGTAAGGATGAAATCAAAGAGTATTTTTTTTATTGCAGTATCTATCCAACAAGGGTTTGAAGGAAAACAGTTATTGCACTATTATTTGTCGAATTTCGAGGTTTCATAAAATAATAATTTAAAATGAAAATAATCAAAATAGAATGACCCGTTATATTTCCGTAGATAATTATTTTTAAATGCAAAAATTTACAGAATCTACGAAAAAATTTTGTTAATTCTTACTAGACCGATAGGAACAGGTATGAACAAATCTCTGGATGTAAAAAAGTATTGGGCAATCGTGCACTTTGTATGTTATTTGTGTAGAAGCTGATCTGTTGTGATTGTAGTTGTAGACGTTGCGTGTTATTGTGTTAAAAGGGAAATAAATAACCTTAATTAAAAAAAAATACCTAGATACGAACATAATTATTGAATCGATCTTGCAAGAAGATGAATAACAAACACAGTTAGCTCTAAAAACAAAATTTTAAATAATTATTAATAATTTGAAATAAACTTGAAATATTTTGTGCTACTCAGTTACAAAGGCTCCTTCACATTCTTCAACACGAATAAAACTTTTTTATTCAACCACCCTCTCAATAGGGTAAAGGGTTAATGGTAGGAGGGGTGGAAGATAAGGGCACTTAGAACTGTGAACCGCTCTCGAGGGAGGAGCAAAAACGTCGGCACCTGAGAGGATAAGTGATAACGTTGATAGTCTCTGTTATACACCTCT